CACTTCACCGCACATCAATAAAAACTTCAATTCATGATCGAAACAATTTTTGTCCGGCTGCGTCCCTGATTCAACATTTCCTCTCCCGCCTCTCCTGATCCTCCTCAAATCCGCCGTCAACGCGCCAGAGGGCCCAAACTCGATTGTCGGCCCACACGCATCCCGATTCCAATTTACCACTCGACACTTCCCCCCGCTCCTGCTAGCGCATCTGGCCCTCCTCCAACTTTTTACTCCGCTTTACGTGCGTTTTTTTGGAGATTTGTTTTTGGAGGTGGTGGCATAGTTTTTTTGGGGGGCGTAAGTGATCTTTGCTAGCCTGCCCCGCTTCGATCTGACTAATTTTGCAGCCAGATTTCGTTTCGATCGAATGCTTGGAATAGTTTATTTCACCTGAATTCCAGCAAACCCGAAAAGCCGTTCAAAGCTATATAGCCGGCGCCCAGTCACGCATATCAAAAAGGGTAGTAGAGCACGGCAGGGTAGCAGCCCAGCCCGCACATGCTCAAAAATGCTGTTGAGGCCCAGGGCTGTGTTGGGGGCGTCATTTGTTGTCACCCGTACTCGTCGCATCGCCCCTGGCTGGGTCCCGCTAATTTGTGCCCCCATTGCTGTGGTGGGGGCTTCCTGAATGCGGGCTCCTGCTATGGCTTCTGGGCCGATGGAGACCACCCCCTTGAATGTTTGGACATGTGCTTTAGACCTTCTGGCTATTCCCCAAAATTGGTGGGGCCCTAGGAATTCGCTAAATGCGTCTCTTTAGCCCCCCCCCCCCTGCCTCTCTCTCTCTCTCTCTCTCTCTCTCTCTCTGTCGCTCTCTGTCTCTCACGATTTTGTAGCTAATTTAATTTGCCAGCGGCTGCAAACCCAGGATTTCTATCACTTTCTTAGGCTTCGAATAAGCTTAGGCTTACAAGGAGTGCCTTTTGAGTGTCATCGGCGAATCCCTTCGAGACCTAGCTCATTCGATAGAGAATTGAATTCTGAACAAGGCTGTGTTGTTCATTTTTGCGGAATGGTTGTCTCTGATTTTATAAAATTAAAAACTGCCGGCGACGCCCATACATTGGTGCTTGGGGAGCGAGTTGTTCAGGTTTCGCGCTTGGTTTTTTAATTCTATAAAATCAGGGACAACCATTCCGCAAAAATGAACAACACAGCCTTGTTCAGAATTCAATTCTCTATCGAATGAGCGGGGTCTCGAATCGTTTTGCCGATGACACCAAAAGGACACTCCTTGTTAGGCTTATGTTTGGCTTAGACCTCGCCTTTTTTTGAACCGAGCCGTCCGCCACGATACTCGCTAATTTGACCTGACAGCCCCACTGTCCACTTTCCTCCTTCCCAAAAAGAGTGCACTTTTTTGCACCGGGGGAGCACGGTCGCGAAAAGTGACACCTCTGGCTCCGTTTCAACTTTGAACGCTTGAGGATTAATGTTGAACTTGTTTAAAACGGAGTTCCATTACCTCCGTCTCTCTCTCGCTCTCTCTCTCTCTCTCTCTCTTTTTTTTCTCTCTTTATGTCTCTCTGCGCCATGCAAAGCCGATAATTACCCCCTACTTTCTAAATAGCACCCATGGCCTGTGGCTCAAAAAATTGGGTGCAAAAACGGCTGGCCAAGCCCTGGGGGCGCTTAAAATCCCTAAATTGTGCCCCTGAAATACGTCAGCCGGTGGGCGGGAGCAATGTAAACATGGCGGTGCTCTGGATTAGGGTGGCCGAGGTCGCTTGCTGATGAGCCGGATCGCTTCCTTGAGAATCTTTGGCTTGCTCTCTCTCTCTCTCTCTCTCTCTCTCTCTCTCTCTCTCTCTCTCTCTCTCCCTCGCACTCTCACTCTCGCCTACCGAAATTCCTGTATTTCTTGATTTTTCGGCTTAATTTGTCCCTCCGCAGGCCAGGATGCCTAAATTAATCCAGAATTTGCTTCCCGTCCCTTTCACCTTGATGACTAAAAATCAAAGGGGTGGGCATGCTAGCACAGATCATCCTTGGAATTTGCCCAATCGCTTGCATTTAGGACAATTTTCGATATTTCCGTCTTTTTTCCAGGGTGCCCCAATTTTGTTTGTCGTTCTTGGCTTCCTACAGTACGCCAGATACCGTATATAAGTAACTTTATAACTTTCTTAACCTTTCTGGCTGCTACAAAGTTTCTCGATGCTTCAGACTACGCCGCATTCCTCCTTACGAAGGCCCGGAATCGTGCGTAGCATGTTGGTGAAGTGGAGGACAATTTATGCACAAATTGGTCCCACTCGGAATACTTGCAGAGGAGGAGGAAAAGCTGGGAATAGTGGCCGTTTATAGCACAACCACTGGGCTGCTCTCACAACTTTTAGGCCCCCAAGGGGAAAGGAAATCCCAGGAAGCTACGGGTTGAGAGTTGTGGAATGTACTACGTGCTAGCGTGAAGAAACTACTGGGAGTAATTGGTTAGGCGGCTTAGGCTTAGGGTTAGGCTTCGGGTTAGGCTTAGGCTTAGGCTTAGGCTTAGGCTTAGGCTTAGGCTTAGGCTTAGGCTTAGGCATGGGCAAGCGAACAGAGATCCTATAGATTCAGGCTACCAGTCGATCCAAAGTAGCGCCTCGGAACCCCTGCGGCGCCATTCACCCGAATTCAATGGCATAAGGGCCCGGCTTCTAAGCTCTTCGGCTTGCGGAACGCAACGTTCCCAGGGCCATTGTCACCGGATAAGGCATCTCCTACTCGCCTTCACCTCTCTAAAGGCATTGGAACACTGGCTGGCCACCAATTAGCCCCGCTAGGGGCTGGACCCAGAATTTATGCGCATCCCTATCTGCCTCCGCGGGGCCTTATTAGACGTTTTTTGCGAGGTCTCTGGGATAATAGGGCTCATGGGAAGGGGCTGAATACTGGGGGTAAGGGTGCCTTTCGTTAGGAAGTGAATTAAAGGGATCTAGAAAGGAAAATTTGGAGAGGCCTAGATTCAAAAAAATTGTAGCTGTCGCGTCGGGATTCGTATTTTTCAATACACGCTGTAAGTCTCTCTCGCTCTCGCTAACTTGATCTCTCTTTCTCGCTATCTCTCCCCTCTCTCTGTCTCTCTATCTCTATCGCTCCTGCTCTCGTTTTTAACCGGCTTTCATTTGGTGTCAGCTAGTTTTGATTTGATTTCCTAAAGATATCTGCTAGCTAGCCTTTTGCCTTCTCTCTCTCTCTCTCTCTCTCTCTCTCTCTCTCTCTCTCTCTCTCTCTCTCTCTCTATCTCCCTTAATCACTCTCCCTCACTCCCTTCTTTCTCTTTTTTCAAAATCGTCTCCTTTCCCTCACTTAAAACCCTCCAATTTTTAATTAATATTTTTCGCCACACGCGGAAATTTATCAAATCCAATTTGCCATCGCTGGGATGCTAATTTGGAGGCCAAGTGTTGGCCCTTGTGGATTGAAGGGGCAGGTGTGTGGATGGGTTGTGGGGTCTTGAGGGGGGAATTCACTTATTCTGGGCCCCCGGCTGGGCGTCTAATTCCCCAAAGAGGACGTTGAGGTAATTCAGTGCATACTAGGTTCAGAATTGAAAGAGAGAAATCAGCCTTGGAAGTTAAGACCGATGACGGAGCTAGCCTGGTGTCTAAGTCAAACTTCAAACAATCGTAAAAACCGCATACGCTGTGTTACAGCTTTGCCTATTAGCGCATCGTAAGCAGCGTTTCAAGTCGGTCCGGATGAGTCCGCAGCGAAATTCGGAAAAGCTCGACTGGCGGGCGCGAAATTTCGAAAAGATCGACGTGGACCTCTTTGCTCCAAAACGATGAAAAGCCGACACTTCAATAAATTCTAGCAACTATACACGGGCCTTACAGGCTTCGTACTAAACTTTTTTTGTCACTACTTTTTGTGATCTTTCAGATGCAAATTGAATTGTGTTGAAATCGCCGGATCGGCTGCAAATAGGCCTGGAAAGGTACCACGGATGACGGGGCTTGCCGGTGTCTGGGTGCTTAGGCTTAGGTGCCTAAACAAAACATCCTAAAAACCACAAACGTAATGATTTTGAGTTCTGAGTTTCGGAGAAGGTAAAAATTCTAGGTTACTTATCCCTTTAATACCTCCCAAGAGGCCTTTTCTTTCCAGCTTTACTACTGACCTTTCAGCCAATGACCCCCTCCGTCCCGCGCAGTCGAATCCTTTGGGGACTACGCGTCACGCCTCTGCACACTGCCATTTACCTAGCCTCAGGCCCCAGCGGAGAAGGGGGCCTCTCTCTCTCGCCGCCTCCACCCTCCAAAAACCCGAAAAACGTACTCGTAGAGCCCCTGGGGGCACGCTTGTGTGTCTCCATTTCCTGGCGTCATCCCCTGTTTCTCTGCTCTCTCCTGGATTCCTCTTTTCTCTCCTGCTTTTAGCGTTCAACACTCCAGCCCATTTCCGTTGCCCCACCCGGTGGGTCGTTCCAGGGGACACTAAAGTAGTAAAAGTTGTACGAACAGCGCAGTTTTAAGGGTAAACATACCCTTGGGTACTGCGCTAATTGGCACGTAACGGAATTTTCTTATATTTTTATGCTTTAGGCCAATTTCCCGATTTTTTTCTAGCGGAGATCTTTTGGGAATCGGACTCTTGCTGAGAAACCGGTGCGAGCGAGCAGAGTATTTTCGGGAAAGTCATCGGAAGGGCTTGAAAATCTCAGCTAGCTTGCCTCGCTCCTGAATTTTATTTATTCCTAAATTGTCTTTGCTAGCTGCCTCAAAGTCGCGTTTCGTGCTCTAATGATATCTGCAAGCCTCCTACTCGGCTCCGCACTTCTCTGATAGCTTGCCTCGATTTCAGCCTCCCAAATAATCTCTGCAAGTCTCGCCTGGGCTCTGCGCTTCCTAAATGGTCTCTGCTAGCTTGCCTCGACAGAACCGATTCTCAAATAATCTCTGCTGGCCTGCCTCTCGTTCCTTAATTTTTCAAAGTTGTGATTTATTTATTTCTTTTTTCTTTCTTCTAAAAATAAGTACGTAATTATCCCATCTTCAGATGTTCACTACACGATGAACATCTCGACGTCATCGGGGATGTCGGCCAGTCGGCCGTTCGTCGGTCGACGCAACAAGTACGGTTTTTGAAATGTACTACATTTTATAGATAAGAGATCGTAATAATACGGTATTCCGTTTCCGATATTGCCGTATACTATTCCGGATTTTCAGGATGACAGCCGCCGACGTACGCCGCCACGTGATGGCTTGTAGTCTGATCGGGCATCCGGCCGCGAAGGATACGGCTGATGGGGCGCTGCCTTCGAATGTGAGTATTGAAACGAAAGAGAGAGAGAGAGAGAGAGAGAGAGAGAGAGAGAGGAGGGAGGGAGCGAAAAACGAGCTCGCGTTTTTAGGTCCTACTCCTAGACGTCGTCGAGCCGGTCGACGTCGAAGACGCGCTCAGCCATCGCAAATCGAGTGCTCTCTATGATACGACGTCGATGGCGAGCCCCAGAAAGTAGGAATTAAATCTATAAAAAGATGACGGTTGGAAGTATATTTTGACAAATCCCTTCAAATTTACAACCCCTTTAACAAAATTTTCAGGCTCTATTTGTTGTCCAGGAGGTAAATTGATCAATTAGTTAAGTTTTATCTGAAATCCCAAATCTATTTTTTAATTTTTTAATTCCCGAAATTTTTGGGAAACGGGCAAGAAGTGCTTTTTAGACTTGGCGAATTCCCTGCAGACGATATCGAGGTACGGACCGTTGTCAGGGAGCAGCAGACCGTCGAAAATCCGCTGAATGGCGTCGACTTGAGCGGGTAAGTAGGCTTGGCTTGGGCTTGGGCTTAGGCCTAGCTTAAGCCTAAACTTCGGCTTGGGATCAGGCTCGGATTAGTTTTTTAGGGCGGAAACCCATTTCTCCTAAATCCATCTCTCATAAACCCATTTCTCATAAATCCATTTCTCCTAAACCCGTTTCTCATAAATTCCATTTCTCATAAATTCCATTTCTCCTAAACCCATTTCTCATAAATTCCATTTCTCATAAATTCCATTTCTCATAAATTCTATTTCTCATAAATTCCCTTTCACATAAATGTGACATAATTTTCAAAACTTTCACAGAATAAACATAAACATAAACTTTCACATAATTTATGCTGTCACAGTTCCCGGAGGAACTCGATCGTCCCACGATTTCGAGTCTGCACAAGGTCGGGCTGAGGAAGCGGAAGGCGATGTTCGGAGAGTTGCCGATCACCACGTCGCTCATTGGATTGATGGTTCCACCGGAATTCGCTGAGTACCAGAACGGTAGCGGCAAATTTGGCAATTTCGCTTGACTTCAATATAGGGACATACTATCGTGGTCATTTTGGTGAACGTTCGATTTTAACGGTGAACGAAGTAAAATTTTACAAAAAAACAATGCTGGGAGAATTTATGAGAAATGGATTTATGAGAAATGGAATTTATGAGAAATGGGTTTATGAGAAATGGGTTTAGGAGAAATGGAATTTATGAGAAATGGGTTTATGAGAAATGGAATTTATGAGAAATGGGTTTATGAGAAATGGGTTTATGAGAAATGGGTTTAGGAGAAATGGAATTTATGAGAAATGGGTTTATGAGAAATGGAATTTATGAGAAATGGGTTTATGAGAAATGGAATTTATGAGAAATGGGTTTATGAGAAATGGAATTTATGAGAAATGGGTTTATGAGAAATGGGTTTAGGAGAAATGGAATTTATGAGAAATGGGTTTATGAGAAATGGATTTATGAGAAATGGAATTTATGAGAAATGGGTTTATGAGAAATGGAATTTATGAGAAATGGGTTTATGAGAAATGGAATTTATGAGAAATGGGTTTATGAGAAATGGGTTTAGGAGAAATGGAATTTATGAGAAATGGGTTTATGAGAAATGGGTTTATGAGAAATGGATTTATGAGAAATGGGGTGCAATCGTTTTTTAGTTTTACCTTTCAATAATTTTATTTTAGCGAAAGCGTCGATCCACACGTCCGGGACGTCACGAGTTCCCTTGCCGACCCTTTTTCGTTGGTTCAACGCAGGTAGGAGCACTTTTTCGAGCAGTTCAACTCGGTTTTTCGATGTCCGGTATTTTCTGACGTGTCCAAAGCAATACCCCTTGTCCCTCTCCAGGTATCAACAATTCGGAAGCGGCGATGCGTACGTTCGGATGCTAATCGAACGCCCAATAATTGCCCGCAACGCCCCGATGCAGACATTTGAGGTCAGGGTTTTATGGATTTTGATGGTTTTTCCTACGTTATTTGGCGTGTTTGGTAGCTTAAATCGATTCCAAGTTACTGTAAATACAGTAATTGGTCGCATTTTTAGAACGAGAACCTCTCGAGCGATCGGTTGACGAGAAGCGCGAGTCTGGTGGAGACCGAAGAGTCGAAACGAAACTCTTACGGGTCGGCGGTGTCGTCTTGCACGATGGGTTCGTGACTACGGTAGTTCTGAACAATAGGGCATGTTTTAGCGAGCGTTGAGGGGCCTGTCGAGACCAGGCTTCATCATTCACAAGCGGATCCGGCGATTCCAAGTGGGTTTTTGAGGTTTTTAAGGCTTAGGTTAGGCTTAGGCTTGGGCTTAGGCTTAGCTTGGGCTTAACTTAGGCTAAGGCTTCACACTGATTCCGTGTACCAACTATGTTCAGACATCACCCAACGCCCCACCCCCGGCCAGATGGACGCCACCAACGAGGCGAAACGCTCTGCCGGTCGCCAGACAACCCTGATCAATCTATTGCCACCCCAGGATGAAGTAATGAATTATGCATTACGGTAGGAAACCCAATTTTCAGGCGGACGTTGTTGAAAAACGAAGCGCCCCGCCATTTCCGGAAGATCGGGGAGCGCATAAACTTATTGTTAAAGTTGTCAAGGTGGGAGAGTATACTGTAGCTTATCCGGATTTTAGCTTCACATCGAGCCGGCGTTCGAGCCGATATTCGGGTCGATGGCGATATATGATGGGAAAGCGAAGCGAAAGGTGGGTTTGAGAGCGAGAGAGAGCGAGATATCTCAATGTGAACGTCTTCAGGTCACCGAAAACTTTTACTTTGACGTCAACCCACCGCACCTCAAAGCGATGCTCCCCTTAACCCTTGGCTCGAACTTCGTCGGATCAGTCGACGAAGCCCTTGACAAGTGCCAACAAGCCGCTTTCAACCTTTCAACGCCCATGCACGACCTCTTCATCGTGATCCGGGTATCGAAAAGCTTCGAAAACTCAAGCTAGGTCTTTTCAGCTCGAAAAAGTGCTGCAAGCTTGCGACGTCTTTGACGCGTCCGAGCCTTACGTAAATGGGACACGGGATGAGAAGGCTAGGGAAAAGCTGCTGCGCAGGCAAAACATAATTGTCAGCGATTGGGTGGGTTCTATCTCTCTTTCTCTCTCTCGCTCTCTCCCCCTCTCTCCCTCTCTCACCCTCCTCCTTCCAGGTACCTACCGTATGCCACTCGGCTTCCTCGTCATCGACCTCTGGCGTACCCTCTGCGACTCCGAGAAGGGCTTCGAGACGCTGGAGCGCGAGGAGAGAATGATGGGTTCGTCTGCATCTCAGGAATTTCGAAAAAGGACGCGTTTTAGAAAGCCAAGACCTCGCCCCACTGGCTACGGTAGACACCGAGAGCATTGTCAGTGCAGATCGAGGCTCGATTGGGACGTCATCTACTTTCCGGAGAATGGGGAGCGGAACCTCCGCGACTACGGTGCTCAATCGTGTCAAGACCCCGCTGCAACGGTAAAGAATAATTTTAGCAATCTTGTTGTCTCTCTCACTCCCTCTCTCTCTCTCGCTCTCTCTGTATCTTCAGGCCTCTAAATTTCTCTATCCTAGCTCGCTGACCACGCGCAGCCCACTTCTACGGTAATTTGGGCATCAAAGAAACGCACTAATCACGTTTAATTTCGCATCTTAAAGGGACCAGAAAGGCTTGAACTTAAGCTTAGGTCTAGGTTAGGCTTAGGCTTAGGCTGAGGCTTGTGCAAAGGCTTAGGCTTAGGCTTAGGCTTAGGCTTGCGCAAAGGCTTAGGCTTAGCCCTGCCATGCCTTCCCGGTCCCTTTAACCCACCACAACCCCGGCTATAACCTTTTTGCTTGCTAATTTCCCCCGGAAATTTTTTGGTAGTTGGCTATATGGTGGGTGATTGGTACAGTAACCCAAGCTTCAAAAGCGTAGCTCAAGGTCATTTTTAGGCGGCGCTTCCTGGGAGGCGGAAGTGAAGATGGGGACTTGGCCGGTTTGGCCCTGCAGGCTCAGATAAATCGGCCAGAGCCATCACTCGCAAATATTCAACCATTCCATCGGACCTACACACACTTCTATCGACAGGTGCGTTTTAGGAGTGGATGGAAGCTGGCAGAGATTCTTTAGGAAAGGGCAGGCTAGCAGAGATTCTTTAGGAAAGGGCAGGCTAGCAGAGATTCTTTAGGAAAGGGCAGGCTAGCAGAGATTCTTTAGGAAAGGGCAGGCTAGCAGAGATTCTTTAGGAAAGGGCAGGCTAGCAGGGTTGCGAGGATCCCGTTACATCAAAAATTCAGGAAGCCGATCGCATCTCTGATGAAGAACTCTTCCGATTGTTGGCAGAAGCCCGGAAAAGCGGAGGGAAATTGACGTATGTCTTAATTTTTATGTAATACTTGTCATTTTTTAGCAAACTTAAAACCTTCCCCTGTATTCTTACGTTGGAATACCGCGGGCAGAGTGCTGAAGACTTGCTGACAAGGCTGAGTCCAGAGATGTTGAGGTGAGAGCGAGAGAGAGAGAGAGAGAGCGAGAGAGAGAAAGAGAGCTAAAGAAAGAGAAAAAGGTTTCATTTTCTAACGTCTCCATTCCAGGATCAACCCATTCGTCTCGGCCAGCGGCTCGGAGCTGACCAAAGAAATCCTGGTGTTCCCGTGCAAGGGGCAATATTCAGTAAATTCTGGCTACCGGTAGGGATTTTCCGAGTTTTTCAAAATTCCTCTTTTTCAGAAACCTGCTGTACATCTACCCGAAGTCGGTCAACCTCAGCGGACGGCCAGGGACGGCCCGAAATATCGCCATCAAGATCGAGCTGCTCGACGACAAGGAAAGGCCGCTGTCAGCGCTTTTCCATAATGGATCTGATGTGAGGATGGCGAACCATTTGTTCACGTCGGTCGTCTACCATAATAAGTACGTCGAACTCTAGCTATTTCTCATTCTCGCTCTCTCTCTCGCTCTCTCTCTCTCCTACTTTCATCTTCAGGTCCCCCGAGCTTGCCGACGAGATCAAAGTCGGAATCCCTTGGGATCTCTGCGAGGGCTATCACCTCCTCTTCACCTTCTTCCACGTCTCTTGCAAGTGGCAACAAGGCCAAGACGAACAGGCCGACTTCCCGATTGGGTATACTGTAAGTTGGAGATGGTATAGGCGTCAAAACTCCTGAATTTTAGTGGATTCCACTTTGCCGTCAGGGCAGTCTGGCTTGCGGCGATTTTTTGCTGCCAATTTCGATGGATAAGCTGCCACAGTGCTATGGGTGAGTTGATGAGAAGAGCGAGAGAGAGAGAGAGAGAGAGAGAGAGAGAGAGAGAGAGAGCGCGAGTGCGAGAGCCATTTTTCAGCTACCTCTCCCCGGAAGTCGCACTCCCCAACATAAGATGGGTGGAGCAGCACAAGCCCTTGTTCAACGTCAACCTCGTCGCCGTCAGCACGGTGCACACACAGGTAAATCACCCGATTGACGATTTTAAGATTTTTAGGATCCTCACCTTGAAAAATTCTGTTTGGCTTTTGCCACCCTGGCTTCGAATAATCCGAAGAAGCCGCCGGTTAATGAGGCACAGCTTGTGGAGGCGATACAGGTGAGAGATTTATTTGAGCGCCTGCTCGTGCCCTCGCTCGCTGTTACTACAGCTCTCTCAATTTCTCTCTCGTCTCTCTCTCTCTCGTTCTCTCTCTCACTTCTTAATTTCAGAACGTCATCAAAGCCCGCCCAGAGCCAATGGTCGCTTTCCTATATAGCATCCTCGACAAGCTCCTCTACCTTATGGCCAATCCGCCCTATGGAGGTGCGTCTTTATTGCTATTTTAACGGGAACGCGCCACAAAAGCTGTAACTAATTGACCCTGAAATCGCTGAACTTACCACTTTAGACATCGTATCCGTCACGTGTTTCGAGACCGTGGGACAGCTCGTCAAAATCTGCGCCATGCTCCTCGATGGATTTTGTGATCGGCATAGCAGAAGCTCGCTGCTTACGACCTATATTCACTACTTCAAGATATCTACGAAGGGTAGGAGCGTTAAAGGGGTTGGAAAGTGCAAGAATCGACGCCTCTTACCGTCTGGGTCTGGAAAGATACGTGATAGGCCAAAATATGCTCAAATTCCTTACAATAACGCCTAGAAAACTGTTTTGGTGGTGGTCGATACCTTGGGTTTTTATTCAGGTCCATCTAAAGGGACTGGGAAGTGCCAGAATCGACGTCTCTTACCGTCTTGGTCTCGACAGCTACGTGCCATGCCAAATTACGCTCAAATTCATCACAGTAGCGCCTTGAAAAGTGTGTTTTGGTGTGTCGCGTACTTGCCGACCTAGGGTTGATTTTCAGTCCATTTAAATCCATCTAACGGCGGCTGGAAAGTGCGAAAACTTTCTCCCTTCTATTGGCTAGGTCTCGACAGCTGCTTTCCAGGTCTAAACACATCCAATTTCCTTGAGATTCTACTCTAAAATGCCTCTTTTTGTCGCGGTAACTAACTGTCGAACCCTAGCGGCAATAGGGGTCGACTTCAGAGGCTCTTTTAAAGACTACCAGAACGATGGAACGCGCACTGTCACCCCGAGGGTGCTGCCCCCCAGAATGCGCAGAGAGGGTCGTCATTAGTGGTGCCCCGTATTGGGCAAGGACCCTCTGGGGTTTGGGACGCCTCTGACACCCTCTCCCACTTCGCCCTGTGGTATAGTGGCTAGCGCGTCGGACTGTGGAGCGAACCATCGCGGGTTCGACCCCCGCCCGGTGCGCAACTTTCTTGCTCTAAACGATATTTCATCGTTCTGACGGTCTTTAAGGGGCTGGAAAGTGCAATAATCGAGTGTTTTGGTTTTCAGAGCACCCATCCCACTCTGGGCTGTGCCGACAGATTGCTGAAGGTCAACTCAAGACCCCCGGCTCGCCGGAAACCCAAAAACTCTTCCACCTCATCGAAGGTGTCGAAAAATCAGCAACCACGCAAAAATCCAAGTCACACTCGCTTGATCAGAACACTGGCCCAACGACTAGCAATCGGGTGGGTGCGATCGATTTTTTTTCTGCATGAGCAGGGCGATGGATGCAAAGCTGAAACAGGACGTCTTGGAAGTTTTAGAGCGGGCTATTGTTTGTCAAAATCATGAAAAGTTTAGGCTTAGGCTTAGGCTTAGGCCTAGGCTTGGGTTAGGCTTAGGCTTAGGCTTAGGCTTAGGCTT